AGGGGTGGCACTGGATGGGCTTTGAGGTCCATCCCAACCCAAACCAACCTTGGATTTCATGAAACAAGAAAGATGCAGAGAAACCAACTCTCGAGGCTTCACTCCCCAAACCTTCCCCGAGGACCTCAAGGAGGCTCCCCACAGACACAGGACACTCAAACTCTCACCCCTTCCTTGGCCACCAGCAGCTGCTTCTCGGCGTTCTGCTTCTTGATGTTGTAGTACTGCACCTCCACCTCGTGGGTCAGCTGCAGCCACTTCTGCAGCGCCTCGGGGGCAGCCCAGCTGCAGTGGGACTCCAGCTCCTTCTCCGCGTTYTTCAGCGCCATCCGCACCTGGGGAGAAGCGCCGGCACACGTGGAGTGGCCGTGGGGAGGGACACAGCCCTCCCGAGCTCATCCCCACCTCTGCTGCCAACCCCGCTCCCCAGGTGCCAGGAAAGAGGGAAAACGTCCCCAAGAAGCTTCATCTTAGTCATGGCAGCAGGAAAAGTSCTCTGGAGGAGCGGTGGCATCCTAGGGACTGTGAGAGAAGAGCCACCCACACACCAGGCTGATGCTCTGAGCACCAGAACCACCCACGGACGATTCCTGCCACCCTACAATGGAGCTCCTTCCTCAGGAATCCACAGGCAGCCCCATGTGTGCTCCTTCTCGACCCCTCCCTGTCAGTCCCTCTGCAGAACTCCCTCTGGAGCCGATGGCACCATGCACAAGGCTGCTGAACGGGAATGGGCTTCCGGTGAGGATGCTCAGGGGGTTTAGTGCAGCCTCCAGAAACCCCTGCAGAGCTTCCTGCCGGTATGTAAATCCCGCAGACCCTCCTGCGCAGGCAGAATCCCTGACAGGACCGTGCAGGCGATCCCCGTCTGAGCCGAGCCCAGGGAGCTCGTCAGAGACGGCTTCCACAACGCAGCAAGTGAGAAAAATATTTAGACACAAAACATGTGCTGCTGGTCAGGAAAAGAAACAGCTTGGCTGGATCAGCCACTCCTGGGGTCTCTCCTTCCACCCCAGCCAGGCTCCTCCACACCCTGACATCCCACGGAGACACAGGATTAGCAGGGAGTGGGTGAGAAGCCAGCTGAGGACACTGCAGCCTCACAGAGAAGCCTTCAGTGGTGGAGACCATCCAGAATGAACTCCTCCCTCCCAGCACAGAGGCTCTAACAGCCCAGGAGGCCAGCCTGGAGCAGGGAAGGATGGCAAGTGCAATCCCAGGACAGCACTCTGCAGAGATGGGACTCCTGTGCCCCCACACCCGAGGCTCGGCGGGTGGGGTGGTTTCACACTGCACAACAGCTTTGGCTCCCACCCACAGCAGCTGGCACAGCTCCCCCTGCCCAGCACAGCCCAGCCTACGGGCGCAGCCCTTCCTCCCAGCCGTGGGCGGATCAAGAGAAGTGTTTCTGTCAGGGGCCGCTCACACTCGCAGCTGGTCCCTGCTGTGCTCCTGAACTCGGTCGCACCGAGCCCAGCCCAGGGCGGGTGGAGGGAGCCAAGAGTCCCGGGATACAGCAGACACTCTGAAATTCCTTATTTTATCCAGAAGGATTGTCCATCAAGGAACAGCCCCGAGGCACTACACAAACACTTCTACCACTTCTGTGTGATTTAGGGCTGTTCAGTATAAAATTGCCTAAATCAGTCCCTGAGTGCCAGAGCCCCACACCCAGGTTTGTCCTGGCTTTTCCTGCAGGACATCAGCGGCATCAGGTGCTGCTCCCACCTCAGCAGAACTCTGACCACCACCCACAAGATCTGGGATCTGGGAATACGGAGAGAAAGAGGGCAGGAAATCTGTCACTGGGTGTTCGGGGTAGAGGAGTGCTCACAACACTTACAGGAACAATGTTTTTAGGGAATGGTGGGAAAGGGAAGTGGTGTACAACAGGCAGGGACCAGTGGCTAAAATGAGTCCACAACCCAAACCCTCCCTGGTCTGCAGCGAATCGGCGCAAACAGGAGTTATTTTGTGAGTCTCCATTTTCCTGGGAAGATTTCTAAGACCCCATTTGTATCACTAAGAGCAACAATTTAGAAGGAAATTTATAAAAAGTTACATTTTGCCTGGGTGAGACCCCCCAGAGCACTGGGTCCAGCCCTGGATCCAGCACCAGGAGCWCCCGGAGCCAGGCCAGGACCCACCGAGCTGCTCCAAGAGCTGGAGCCAGCCTGGGAGAGCTGGGGGTGCTCCCCTGGGGAAGGGAAGGATCCAGGGAGAGCTCGGAGCCCCTGCCAGGGCCGGAAGGGGCTCCAGGAAGCTGGAGAGGGACTGGGGACAAGGGCTGGAGGGACAGGAGCCAGGGAATGGCTTCCCAGTGCCAGAGGGCAGGGCCAGATGGGGTATTGGGCAGGAATTGTTCCCTGGGAGGGTGAGCAGGCCCTGGCACAGGGTGCCCAGAGAAGCTGTGGCTGGCCCTGGATCCCTTTGAGTGTCCAAGGCCAGGCTGGACATTGGGGCTGGGAGCAGCCTGGGACAGTGGGAGGTGTCCCTGCCATGGCAGGGATGGCACTGGATGATGTTTAAGGTCTCCAACCCAAACCAGTCTGGTATTCCATTCCACAATTCTCTCAGTGTTCTCTGGGTCCATGGGCCCACTGGGGTTGTGGCCTGGGGAAGGTGACCCAGTGAGGAGAGAGGGATGGATGAACATTCCAGAACCAGGACACTTCTCCATTGCACACATCCAACTCCAGCAGGAGCTTCCAAACCCTCCAGGGTGGCTTAGTGACAAGAATCAACTGGTGCAGAAGGAGGTCTTGGTTAATATTCCCTGGAGCAGGGAACATGTTGAACTGGGAGGAATTGTGGGGTCAGAGGGGGTGACTGGTTAATGTCACGAGTGTCCTCGAGCTGCTGGGACAGTGCTGGGGTTACGGTCACACAGTGCTCAGGTGGGACACTCCAGTACTCACCTCCCGACGGACTGAGGAACCACAGAGGTGACGCCAGCTCCGGCTTCCCGGGCTCCTTAGGAACGGGAATGCAGGGGGAAGCGGAAGGAATGAGAGCTGGGCTGCTCTRGAGCCGGGAGCCAGGCGGGCACGAGGGCCGGGGGCACCTGAGGCCACCCACCCCTGTTTGGTGGCCCAAAGCACACTGACCCAATGTGTGATTGTGTCAGGATGGACATCCCGGGGCATGTCCCGAAGGGGAGCTCAGAGAGCTCGTGAGAGGCTGGACAGCCACATGGGAGAGACGAGGGAGGCTGGGTAAGAGAGCAAACTGAGATCTCGGGGCTGTTGCTGCTCCAGGCACGAGGGGAATCTGCTGTTTGCACCCCTGCACTGCCCCAGGGCCCCCAGCACGCTGGGTCCTGCCCTGCTGGGAAACCCTGGATTCCTCCCTTGTTTGCCTCCCCATGCTCCACGGTGGCCAAAAGCACTGGACACAGTTGGGAGGATGCACCCATGGCCTTGGAATATCCAAGGAACATGCTTGGCTTGTGCAGTTCTGGCTCCCAGCTTCAGTTTAAACTGATCTGTAACTTAAGGAGTCARGGGAGAATTGTCCCTCAGGTGAGATAGGAAGCAGCTACTGAATTTATGGGTTTGGGGAGGTTTCTTGAAGGTTTGGGGAGGTTCACATTGGACACTGGGAAAATTTCCTTATGGAAAGGGTTGTCCAGCCCTGGTGCAGGCTGCCTAGGGCAGTGGTGGAGTCAC